TAAGACTCACTGGACTGGGGCTGGAGCCCCTCTGATTGAGGGGGACCTCTAAGACTCACTGGACTGGGGCTGGAGCCCCTCTGATTGAGGGGGACCTCTAAGACTCACTGGACTGGGGCTGAAGCCCCTCTGATTGAGGGGGACCTACAGTGTAAGACCGGGGCTCTCCAGGAGTAACTCCCAAGTCTCTGATCCCAGAGCCAGCAGACTTCACTGAAGGATCTGTGTGAGTCAAGAGCTCGGCTGCAACGAGAGCCAGCAGGAGCGCTGGGGACCCCCGCGGCGGTGTTCCCATCGCGGTGTGCAATACAGGTGTTCGGCTTTATCTTTACCTCCACTGCGGCTCAGTGGGTTTAGACACTAATGACCTCCTGGCGAGGTGTGACAGACGCTCCTGTAATTGCAGCTCTAAACGATCTCGTTACTGTTTGCGTTCTCTGAAGTGACATGCTGCTGCCGGTAATGGAGTGTAACAGGAATCCGCCGTTCCCTTCCCAGACACTCCTCCTGATCGGAAACGCCACCCTCCCGGCACCGGTCCCGGATCCGTGCCAAACGGCAGCTGGGACACCAGAGGGATCGCCAAGCCCCGCGGAGGTGCAGGGCTCTTCCTCGAACAGGGCGTGTCGGCTCCCTGCCCGGCAATGCTTGCCAGCACTTGCTTTGAAGCGCTCGGGACGATTCCGAGCGCCACGCCCCCGCCCCCCGAGCGGCATCTCACCTGCCTCCCCTTCTAGACGATGGCGTACAGCGGCCCCGTCGTCTCCTCAATGGGCTCTGCGCAAAGCAAGAGGAAAGCAGGCGTGAGTGCTGGAGGGAAAGGCAGGAAGGCACTGTTCTGTGGCTCCATTTCACACAAGACTGGCCTGTTGGGCAGATAGTAGCCAATTCATCCCACACCCAGCTGCCTTTTGCCAGACGCCAAGGTATCGGCTTCAACAACATGGCTGGGCAGCTTGTTCCACACTCCCACCCCCCTTTGTGTAAAGTACAGCCTCCCCTCTTGACTGAAGGATCTCATCCAGTTGTTTCTTGAGAGAAGTCAGCGTACCAATTCAATTAAAATACTTTATTCATCCCCAGGGGGGCAATGTAATGTTGGCTTTGACAGCATGACTGGGTAGCTCATTCCCCACTCGCACAATTATTTAAATTAAATACTGCTGCAAAACTGGTTCAATATCCACACGTGCTCTGTTGTCTTACAGAGAAGATTGAACGTTGTTCTTTACAAGAATAGGAGTTCACACTGGAAAACTAAGGGGAAATTTGCTCTGGAAGGAGAATGGGAAATGCTTCCTGTACACAAAGAGTGGTGGGTGTCTTCCCGTCTCTTGTTCTGCTCCCCCTTCCGGGAGGGTGTCTTACCGCGCAGGGGCTTGTCGCTGCGGGACTTGCAGTGATGTACCAGCACCCCGATCCCCATGGCCAAGAGAATGGTGACGAGGGAGAAGCTGACCAGCGCCACCACCATCCAGATGTTCGTGCTGTGCTCCGCCTCTTTCACGCCTGCAGAGAGGAATCAACGCACCCACCTGAGCAACTCAGATTCTGTGGACAAGCAGCAGCACTTTCAGCTGCAGTTACAGCAGACCGGCCACTAGAGGCCGCTCATTTGTGTTAATAGACATAGGGAATGACAACCCCTTGCACCACAATGGCACAGCCCAGGGGAGCCCTGGTTTCAATTCAAGGGGTGCTATCTGTGCAGAGTTTGCATGTTTTCCCTGTGCTCATGGGGGTTAACTCCCACAGTCCAAAGACATGCTGGTAGGTCAATGGGTTTCTGGGAAAATCAGCCCCAGTGTGAGTGTTGGTGTCTATGCAGGGTTGGCTCTGTCTGTCCTGTGGCAGGCTGGCTTCATCTTGCCCCCGTGCGCACTGCTTGCTGGGATAGGCTCCAGCTCCCCTGCGACCCTGAACTGGCTGAATGGATGGAGGTATAAGCTAGCAATCAAGCTATCATTAGCTCTCAGGTGCGCTTCCTGTTTTTACTAAACAAACCTCAGGCCATAAGGAGCTAAGCAAGTCATTTGCTGAGCGAGGGGAGATTGGTCCTTGACATCCGAAGGTGTTAGATTTGCGCCCCCAGACGAGTTGAGCTATTGTAGTCCCTTCTTCACTTATCATTTAAGTCGATTCAAGCTTGCACTAAGCACTAAGTTTCAGGGTCACAGAAATGGGGGCTCTCCAGAAGAGGGGCTCCCCTGGTACTCACAGGCGTCGCAGGAGAGAGTTTTGGGGTACTTCTGGCAGATGCTGCAGGAGATGCATTCTTCCAAGTCAGCGTTCCAGACCTCGGTGTTGTTGCACTGCTCTGTGGGAGAGAGAGAAGAGGGGTTCAGTCCTCGCACTGAGCTCCCTGCCCCCCCAGAATCACAGCTCCCCCGAGTTAGACGGCAGGGCGGCGGTATTTTTATTCCTGCCGTAATTCAACACTACCCCTCCCCCACAGCGCGGTCTGACGTTCAGCGACTTCACCCTGACATTCCGCCAACCACCGAGAGGGTTTCCCTGTTCGCCAGGAGGAAGCTGGAAAAATCCAGTGTTCTTCCTTATTCCAGCTGACCGGGGAGCGTGACGCGTTCTTTCCCTGGCCCATATTTGAACTAGGAAGCGCGCGCGTGTTGTTTTTTTACAAGCCCATCACGCTCACACGGAAAGGAAGAGTGCATTGTGGGACACACACACACACCCTTCAGAAACGGTCTTTGACTTCAAGCCAACAGGGCCCGGAGCACAATGAGTGGCTCCAGCCCCAGACACATAAGGCAAGCAGATTCTGTCTGGGGGCGGGGGAGGGAGAGTCAGGGCTGAAAACGAGCGCCGGCTCTGGGCTGAGGTGCTGTAAATATCCCCCGCGCGTCGACAGCGATCGCGGCCACTCACTTCCTGGGGAAGAGTCATCGCGAAACCGCGCGGCCTGTGTCGGCGGGAGACACCTCTGGAGTCAGCAGAAAGTCAAAAGTGTCGAATAATTCCTTTCTTGCTGTCGACAAAGGGGGCAGAGGGCAGGTAGTGGTTTCGCAGAGGATGTGAGAGAAACATCATACCAGGCAATGAGAAAGAAGCGTGAAATTTGATCTGGGTGCGTCTAAAATTCGGCCGGTGCTTCCTCCTGCCTGGCGTTTGTCTTATTTATCACTTGGCTCAGACCCCCGGTCCTGTACTTTTGACACCCCAAGAAGGCTTCACAGCTGAAACGTTGCGTTTCCTCTCTTCTCTTTTCAGCATGGAATAAACCTATTGCTTGTTCCTTTTGCAGATTACGAATTTTTCTGAAAGACGTTTTGTTTCGAGTCTCCCCCATTCACGTCACTTAACGAATAAGGTCGAAGGACGGGATTTAAAGGAACACAGTCTAAAGGAACCTTTCGAGGACTGCGTGCTCGGCCTGTCAGATCAGGATCTAGAAACCATCCCTTCAGGAAAAAACAAAATCACTCCCCAATTCCTCGTAGGATAACTGTGCTAGAGAGAACCGCGCCACCTACTGGTCCACCAGTTACACTCACAGTAGCAGCCTGGTTATCTTTACGGGTCTCCCATCCCAGTACTGACCAAAGCGGCCCGCTGCGCTCCTGAGATCTGATGGAAATTGTGGTCCAGAGGGAAGAGCACCCCCTACTGGTCCACCAGCACCCCTTACACTTACAGCAGCAGCTTGGCTTCCCTTAGAGGTCTGACAGTACTGACACAGCCCAGTCCTGCTGGGCTCCTGAGACCAGCTGAAAACTGCCCCCCCCCTCTTATTGATTCATGAGCTGGAGCTGTTCCAGTGCGAGTTCAAATCTTTAGGTTCGTTGACCTCTTTGACCTCGAAGGCTGTTGGTTCCCTAGAAGGAAATAAACGGCTCTCAGACCACTGGCCCCCCGTCTCGTCAGCGAGCACGTGGTTCACCGCTATGTTGGTTTTGCTCTCTGCCCTTCGAGAAATGCACTCTAGTTATCTTCCGCTAAACCACATCTCTAATCACTCCACCCTCCGACTTGCGCTGTCACTTCCTTTCCAGACTTCGAGCAGCTCTGTCACTAAGCTCTCGACACCCCTGGCACCCCAGCTGTCCCAGGAAACCTCCCTCACCGGCGCACTGGGGCTGGGGCCAGGGAAAGGGAACGATGCTCTGCGCTCGAACCTTGGTTTCCACCGTTCCTTAGGGCATCGGCTCCAACAACAGGGCTGGGCGGCTTGTTCCACACTCCCACCACCCTTTGTGTAAAGTCGGGCTTCCTGTTCTGACCGCAGGATCGCATCCAGCTCTGTTTCTTGAGAGAAGTCAGGGTACCGGCCTTAAGGGCATGGCCGGACGGTTTGTTCCACACTCCCACCGGCCTGTGGGCAAAGCAGTGCCTCCTGTTCTCAGTGTGAAATGCACTTCCCTGTGGCTTCCAGGTGTCCTCTGGTGAATGACAGTACATGGTGATTGTGCCTGCCACAATTAATTGCACATTACAACCGGCTACAGTAACTCGCGCAGGTGTGGTCTTGTGTTTTGCCCACAGCGTCACAGACAGACCTTTGCTGGGCTGCAAACCGTTTAACGTGAGATGGTCCTCAGGCTCACAGGACATTTTGAAGGGACCCGTAGAAGGAACTGAATCTCTTCGGTTTCAGGCCAAGGGAAAAAAAAAAAGAGGAGCTGAATTTCCTTGCAGCTCCCAAGGTAAAGAAGAGGCTCTTCTGAGGTTCATCCAAGACGAACTCGGACTGCAGACCCACTGCTCCCACATTCACATGTAATTACAGGGGGAAATGCCAGTTAGTGTTCTGTACTACGGCCTCCAGCAGTCTTACAGTAATCGTTATGATTTTATTACAGCAATTAAAGTATTTACAAGTTTGCATGCAATACCTATTGCTACATTCACCCAGGTTGCATTATTTTCCGTGGGCCGTCCGAGGTGTGAAATCACTCCTGCCTGGCCGACAAAGTCCTTAACCATTTACAATCTCTAGGTGACGTTTACCAGCTCAGTGGTTGTGCCTCTCTGCCGTCCGCCTGGCTGTCCAGCACTGACTGACCGGCCACAGGGGCTGATTCAGGCAGCGTGCTCTGTCCTTGGCCTTAATGAAGAGCCCACAGCCCTTTCAATCTCTCCTTCTAAAGCCAACGTCCCTCCTCTTCCGTTCCCCCCCCGGATCCGATTTCGATTTTTCAAGAACTTTATTTTCTTTCCGCAAATAAACAGATAATCACAAAATAGAAAATGTTGCACTAATATATATACTTAAAACGGTATATATGAACACATCTCGTTAGGGGTAGACAAGGCAACAGTTACATAACAATAATTTCTCTAATTCAGGTGCATTTTCCCCGAGTCATCTTGGGTCACTTCCAAAGCAGGACGGCGGAGCGGGCCGGCAGGCGCTAGAAGAGTTTGCAGTGGTGATTAATCCAGCTCACTTTTCCGCCCCAGACGTCTTTGCTTTGGTGTTGCGGCACACACGTTTCTCGTTGCTATGTCAACGGTCGGGCCCTTTCCACAGTCCTCGGGGGGAACGACAAGAAACCCTTTTCTTATTGATCTCCCCCCCGAGGGAGCGGTGACTCACGCTTCCATTTCGGGAGCTCGTGTCCACAGCCGACATTCCTCAGCCGAATGCCGGAGCATGTCGGGAAGGCTGTGTCCACATGAGTCATCGCGGAGAGGCAGTCTAACAAGCGCGCTTCCCAGTACCTGGGGCTTCCTGGAAACTCAGGATTTCCAGGCTGCTGCGGGATTAAAGGGACCCTTTGTGTTCGGAGTGATCTCACACGCCCTCTGAAAGGGAAACATTTTAGCCACACAAACCGCCTCCTGGCACGCGATTCGGTTCCCACGCGGAGCTCGTCCTGACCGAACCGAGAGTTTGTTTGCAGTCAGGAGAAGCGCTTTGCCACACAGCCTTGGAAAAGCAAAAATGTGTTTTTACGACAGTAAGAGGAGACACTGCTCCCTATCAGATTCATACTCGGATAGGTTTTCTGTTGCATTACCGACGAGTGTGGCTAAAGAAGACACAATGAACACACCATTTTCTCAGTACAAACACAAAAAAACACTGCACTATTGAGAAACAGCCTCACCGTCTTGTCCTTAGCCCGCGAGAGGAGATAATAATAATAATAATAATAATAAT